CTGAGCAGCAGCCCAGGTGTAATAGCCAGAGAGGGGTTAAATTGTGGTCAGGGTTGAGAGGCTCTGCAGGCCAGCCCCTCCAGAATCCCCCTGCTCTGGGGCTTTTGGAGAAAGAGTTAGAAGCAGTGGGTGGATCTGAGGAGAGGCTGAAGGAAGGAGGCTGCAAGGAGGCCCAGTGGGATGGAGCCTATCTGCAGACCTGGAGCTGGAAAGGAGGAAAGATCAAAGCTCACTGGCTCCCTGAAAGAGGACCACCTGTATGGCAGGGAAGGAGCAGCTCAGCTGATGGGCCTGGTAGCAGAAGCCAACACACAAGTGGTACAGGAGAGGATCTGAATGAGCACACCTACAACCCCTGGGCAGATAGGGGAAGGAGCACTCTGGTGGGAAACCAGATTAGCTCCCTACTAGTGACTGTTCACCTCTTTAAAGGAACAGGAACCATCCCCTACTCGGGAATACCTCCAGATTGCTAGGCGAAGAGGAAAAGTTCATCTACGGTCTGAGGTGGTACACTAAGGAGATGCTGGCTAGCTCTCCAATAAAGACCATGCTGCAGAGAAGGCTTGTAGTTCCAGAAAGTTGTCCTCAGTTTGTCAGTTCCCTTGGGCATCCTGTATACCCCTAACCCTATCCCAGTTCAAATACCCTCAAAAAACAACTAAACCAAAAGCTTAAGGACTGATTTTCAGGATGCAAGCTTTTGTGAAATGTGTAATGCCAGGCTGTGCAGAACTGTAGGGGGACCCAATCAGTAACTACACAGTTAAACAGCAAGAACACTTTAAAAAATGTCCATATTCACCTATGTAGCTATAGGCATTGAGGAGAGTTCAGTGTTTAAAGTTCACATCTGAAACACTGAAGTTTTAGCTCTTTCCCTCATGGGCTTGTCCACACCCGTGGTTTGGGGGGGGGAACTCTGTAGTTGAGCCGTGCTTTTACTGCTTCCTCAAATGCTACCCCCTTTATTAGTGAACAATAGATAAATTGCACTTAAAAGAAGAAAATAGTTAGAAAAAGACTCATCAGATAAATGGTGTTAATAAGACTCCATGTGGTGGAACATCCAGCTGTCCAGCAGAAAACTCTGTTTATAGGATCAGGAAGTAAACCTAGGATGTGTTTGTGTATCAAAATGAGGTTTGGAAAGCAGAGTTGGATGTAGGAGGTGAAGGGGGCAGTAATACATTTCGGAGGATGCTCACTAGGCTCCTTCTTCAGACCTGCTAGAGTGGCAATAAGAAATGCACATGGTTGTGGCGCACTAGTGCAGTGATCAAGGAGTTAAAGCAAGCAGTGAGGTGGCAATATAATGCTTACTTACTTCCTCTTAAATGCTCTCTGAAGTACGATCCGAGCCTGAATCGCTCTTCAGAGTACAAAGCTTCAGAATACTTTCAGTTTCACCAGAATCTTGGCGGCCTACCAGACCTCTAATGTAAACCCAGTGCTATTGTTTATAAGCTTTGTCTTTGTTGTAATCTTTGAGAATCTTTGAGATTTAGTTCCCTCACAGTACACACAGCTAGTAATATCAGGATGGCTTGTTTTAAATTTCTGTATGTCAGGATGAAATATAAACAAAAACACATACAGTACATCTCTACCCTACACAAGCCTTCCCCCTTTCCTATTTTCCACAATATAGCCACTAATTATTTTAAGGCCAAGAAAAGATCAAGGAGGGATAATTATTCATCTTGAGATAACGCAACTAGTATGCAGAGGACAGATTTTCATTTCTGACATGATCAGCAGGTATTTTTGCACTTATTGATCAGATATAACAAAATACTTCCAATAGTATATTTAACGGGGAAGCACAGTGGCTTAAAAGTTAGCATTTCTGCCTGGCAGTACTAGGGCTGCTGATTTGAATCCCAACCACAGCACCACCATGCCTGGAGTTTGTATGTTCTCCCTGTGCCTGCGTGAGTTTCCTCCGGGTACTCTGGTTTTCCTCCCACACTCTAAAGACATTCTGGTAGGTTAATTGGATCCTGTCTAAATTGACTCTAGTATGTGTATGTATGAATGTGAGTTAGGGACCGTAGATTGTATGCCCCTTGAAGGTCAGGGACTGATGTGAATGTACAGTATATGTATGTAAAGCGCTGCGTAAATTGATGACGCTATATAAGTACCTGAAATAAATAAATAAAGCTACATTACCATGGGTGGATAGTTTGTTGCATTTTATATTCAGTTAAATGCTGCCTCTGGACACAAATGGGCTCTGTGGCTATTTTGTGCATGGCCAGAAACACCATCACTGGACGCCCACACTGTCTGCATCAAATGTATGAGCAGATACATACAAACATGAGCACTAGCCATCAATTTGTATGGCGTAAAAATCTGAAACCCACTGTTGTTCACACACAAATATATATATATATACATACACACACACTATATTGCCAAAAGTATTGGGACACCCCTCCTAATCAATGGATTCGGAGTTCCAATCACCTCCATGGCCACAGGTGTATAAAATCAAGCCCCTAGGCATGCAGACTGCTGCTACAAACATTTGTGAAAGAATGGGTCGCTCTCAGGAGCTCAGTGAATTCAAGCGTGGTACTGTGATAGGTTGCCACCTGTGCAATAAGTCCATCCATGAAATTTCCTTGCTACTAAATATTCCAGTCAACTGTTAGTGGTATTATAACAAAGTGGAAGCAACTGGGAACAACAGAAACTCAGACACGAAGTGGTAGGCAATGTAAAATGAGAGAGAGAGGGGTCAGTACATGCTGAAGTGCACAGTGTGCAGGAGTCGCCAACTGTCTGCAGAGTCAATAGCTAAAGACCTCCAAACATTGTGTGGCCTTCAGTTTAGCACAACAGTGTGTAGAGAGCTTCATAGAATGGGTTTTCATGACCGATCAGCTGCATCCAAGCCTTACATCACTAAGTGCAATGCAAAGCGTCAGATGCCGTGGTGTAAAGCACGCCACCACTGGACTCTAGAGCAGTGGAGACTTTTTCTCTGGAGTGACGAATCACGCTTCTCTTTCTGGCAATCTGATGGATGTGTCTGGGTTTGGTGCAGAGGCATCCCTAGGGTTGGTGTCACCCGGTGTGGTAACACTTGGTGACACCCCCTCTGACGATCCCCGCAGAATGGATCGGATCTGCAGATTGAGCAGAATGGATCGGACTCCGATCCATTATACTCAATCCGCAGATCCAATCCATCCTGCGGGGATCGTCGGCTTGCTTTACAATTTACCATTTTTGTGGAGCGGGTCCGGTGTCACCCCGTATAGGATGCATGCAGACGATCCCCGCAGGATAGTCAGCATGCAACCTATACGGGGTGACACCCGACCTGCTCCAAGAAAAGGTAAGTTGTAAAGAAAGCCGACGATCCCCGCTGGATGGATCAGATCCATCCTGCGGGGATCGTCGGCTTGCTTTACAACGTACCTTTTCGTGGAGCGGGTCCGGTGTCACCCGTGCGGTCAGTGTCACCCCGCGTGGACCGCACTTGCCTCAGGACCAGGGGCGGACTGACCATTTGGAAACTCGGGCAATGCCCGAGGGCCCGGGGTCAGTAGGGGGCCTTATGAGATGCCCCTGGTACCTTTTTCATAGGCTTTTTTTGAGTTTGGACAAGGACACAGGGGCCCCATGATCCCCTATTGCCCGGGGGCCCCATGAGTTGTCAGTCCGCCCCTGCTCAGGACGCCACTGTTTTGGTGGTTGCCAGGAGAAAGGTACTTGCCTGACTGTATTGTGCCAAGTGTAAAGTTTGGTGGAGGGGTGATTATGGTGTGGGGTTGTTTTTCAGGGGTTAGGCTTGGCCCACTTAGTTTTAGTGAAGGGAACTCTTAAGGCATCAGAATACTAAGACATTTTGGACAATTTCATGCTCCCAACTTTGTGGGGACAGTTTTGGGTTGGCCCCTTCCTGTTCCAACATGACTGCGTACCAGTGCACAAAGCAAGGTCCATAAAGACATGGATGAGCGAGTTTGGGGTGGAGGAACTTGACTGACCTGCACAGAATCCTGACCTCAACCCAATAGAACACCTTTGGTATGAATTAGAGTGTAGACTGCGAGCCAGGCCTTCTCGTCTGACATCAGTGCCTGACTTCACAAATGTGCTTATGGAAGAATGGTCAAACATTCCCATAGACACACTCCAAACCTTGTGGACAGCCTTCCCAGAAGAGTTGAAGCTGTTATAGCTGCAAAGGGCGGGCCAACTCATTATTGAACCCTACGGACTAAGACTGGGATGCCATTAAAATTCATGTGCGTGTAAAGGCAGACGTCCTAATACTTTTGGCAATATAGTGTATATATTGTATAACTGTATATATATACAGTATATGTGAACCCTTACCTTGCAAACCAACCCATTCAGTTCAAAATAGAAATGAAAGGCAAAGCATTTGTGTGTGTGTGTATATGTGTAAAAAAAACAAAAAAAATTATATTTATATATATATATATATATATATATACACACACAGGAGGGTTAGGGACTGATGTGAATGTACAAGATATATGTAAAGCGCTGCGTAAATTGATGGCGCTATAGAAGTACCTGTAATAAATAAATATATATATATATATATATATATATATATATATATATGCATATAATTTATTTTTTTTTTTAAATGACCTCAACCCGATAGAACACCTATCGCATAATCTCTGTTCTCATATACTCAGCTGCAAAAGGGGCTTAGAGAGGCGGAAGTGGAAAAACAGCAGTACACTGATCTTCTCATTTAATGGCTGTTCAGGGGAGGCATGTCAGCACGTGTCTGATCATTGGAGAACAGGCAGGCTTTTCTCCAAGCACAATCAGAAAACTGACCATTCTGGGATGGATGTGCTCTCATGCCTAGCATGGTCAGTTTGAAATAGGAAAGCAGGGGCACTGGCAGGAACACCAGGTATTTCACACAAAGGAAGAACTACAAAGAGAACAGGATACTTTTCAACACAAGTACATGTTGGGGTAATATATTCTTTAAGGTCATGTTCAAGAAATTGTTTGTGGGCATCTGTTTAAAACAGGTGTCTTTATTTAGAACATAAAAATTAAGTGACATGCTTATCTGATGTCCCATATTGCTTGAACAGGTGGGTTTTTGTGATTAAAAAAGGGTATCAAGACACCGACACATCAATACAGAGCTCTGTCATTACCAAGTTAAAGGGAGTTGCCTTCACCAACACTACAGAATTGGGGCCAAGACTCTGGGATGTGGTGGATTATGTCATACCCCCACAGGTCAGTAGATCTTTTCACTTCATGTATAAAATGTCTCTACATGAAACATGTGATTTTTTATTTTTTTATTCTTCCTTTAGGGTGAAAATATTTTTTTTGTGGTGACAAACCTGATTGTGACCCCGAATCAGAGGCAAGGTAAATGCAGCGAGGTAAGGAAGGCAGAAACACAGTTAAAGAATAAACAAAAGTAAGCCACTGAACAACCTGAGAGTACCTATGTCCTTCTAGTGTGAAAGTAATTCAATTCTCAGGAATTTTAAAATGTTTTTCAAGAAAAAAACTTTTTATTCCACATTGAAAAGTCTGAAGACTACCCAATCTAGGATCCTCACTCTCTGACGGGTTTCACCCACAAAAGAGCTTAGTCTTAAATATGTCCACGATTAAGCGCTTGTTGGGTAGAAAGTGTAGATCCCATGTGGGGTGATCATTGGGCATTTCCACCTGGAATAAAGACTGAACCTGGTGTGCAGAACTTGAGCCATATTGTTTGGTGGACTGTGAGTGGAGATTGGCTTGGGAGCTCTGCCTGGATCTAACCTGGAAGGTGAATATCCAACCGTGAGCTTTTGGAGCATAATGGTTTTATTTTGGTTTGTTTGTTTTTTAAGCTCACGCTGTTATTTGTTTTAAGGGAACAGAATCTCTCAAGGCCCTTTGGAAAAAGAGTTGAGTAAGCCTGCTCACATATATAATGACTATTTCTTAGATCAGGAAATGATTTATACCTATGGTCTCTCTGAAGACTCACTGGTTTTGTTGGAAGATCAATTATCCAGAATTAACTTTCCCATACAATTACTTTTGATCTCCTAAGATATGTGCTTGGATATTTGCTCAATGTACAAATACACATGTTTAGAACAAATGACCATATGCATTTATACAATAGTTTTCAATAGAACATTTGTGAAGATAAACGACCAATTCACGTCTAAAGTTTGCCTGAAAAATAGAAAAACGATCAGCCATAGTCAAGGCAAGATCACAAGCCAATAAGATGTAGAATTCTTGGATATATTGTCTATTTTACTGTAAAAGTGTACAATGCTTAGACTACAAACCCAAACAACCTGAAACTGTCAGGCCAAAATAAATACAAAACTGCCTGAATTCTGCAATTTCTGAATTGAGTTGGCTGGGATCCAGGTAATTTTATATGAGGCATATTTGTCCCAAGATTTCATCTCATAATGTAGTCTAGCTACACTTGTCACCTTTTTTATTTAATAGACACATCCATCTAGATCACTGCAGAAGTTGGAAGTTTGATAGATTAGCTGCACTGCTTATATTTGTATTGCTTCTTATAGAGAGGCTATGTTTTTAATTTTCATATTCAGAAGAAGAGCCTTGCAGTGCTGCCTGAAAAAGGTGGGACAGAAGCAAAGAAAATAATGCTAAATGTATAGAATGGAGTTGAATTTTGGCCCTTGTCCAACTGAAGACATGAGCTGAGCTACATTTATAGGCCAAGCAAAGACCTAGACTAGATTTACAAAGAAAGCAGGACTATATGGATATGTTGTCAAGCTTAAGAATAGTTACTACCTTGTGTGCTTTTATGAGCTTAGGGTGGACTCTGGAGTCTCATCACGTGAACAATGTAACTAATAAGAACATAATTATCTAAGTCTTGATGTGTAGAATATCATTTGGTTTTATTTTAGTGCTTTAACACAGAAGATAGCATGAATTAGCAACCTTACAACCCTTGCACTCTACTGTATGTCTCCAGCCACCTACCTATACTTGATTCATCTGCACCCATAAGAGAAATGATACTGGCTGGTTACCACACCTCTACAGTACCAGGGTCCACTCACACTTACCCAACTCCAAAGTTGCATCATTTTCAGTGTGACTTTGGAGCACCTTTGATCTGACTTTACACTCTCTGGATCAAAAGTTGAATCAAAAAATTGCATCAAAAAAGTGCAGGCATATTTTAAAAGTTGCTGCGACTTTAAGTTGCACCAATTTGAACTGGTACCATTGAAAAGAATGGCCTCTGACTTGTCATGTAACTTTGAATAGAGCCTCAGACTACTTTGTGGGCAGATGGATGTTTCTGCCTAGCAGCTGCAGTTTTCCCTGTTCTTGCTATACCGTCTCATAAACTACGACAGCAATGTACATCCAGATCCTGATCACTGGCCATTAGTGTACGGGGATGTTTCATTGACCAACAACATAAGAGAAAACTACAATGACTACTATTGTAAGGGGGCACTACGCTAACCATTAATGTATGGAGGTACTTTAGTGACTACCAATGAAGGGGAGCACTTTACTGATTATCAATATAAGGGGCTACTTTAGTGGCAACCAATGTAAGAGGACACTTTTCCATTTGTTAGCAATGTACGTGGTCATCTTATCACTCACCACAAATGTAAAGTGACACTAAGGTCCTTCACTGACTATGAATGTAAAAAGGGTGAAGACAGGAGAATGCACAAACCACCACAGAGCCAAAGGTCACCAATTTATACGAGGTAGAAATAGATGGCAATATAGGATGCTGGCCACCAGTGTTAGAGAGGTTTATTATAAATGGTGCAAAATGGCAGGTACTTACTGGTATTGTAGCAGTGTATGTGTGTGTGCGTGGGGGGGGGGGGTCAGGGGGGGGGTGATTCTTGTTGAATCAACCAAAATTCAATTCCTGGTAGCCCTATCAGCACCACACATCTTGCCAAACTTTGATTGTAAAATGAAGGAGCCGGGTATAACACCGTCAACTGTTTGGGTATTTAGGTAGCCACAGGCATTGAATACAATAGCTGGCATTGAGATTCCTCCATCCTCACTGTTTAGCATGGATGGAGGAATCTATTAGATTTCTCTCATTCAGTCAGAAGATTTCAAGTGTTACTAAACCCAGGACCCTGCATTCACTATATGTTGTCTCCCACAGTACACACAACATGGAAATGCAATTATTTTAGTAAATATAAACTGCTAAACACCTTTTTTCATTAGCAGTTAGAGCAGTCTTGTGACTTCTATCAGTGTCCAGCCGAGCACATGTTAAAGCTTGTAGGAGTTTTCATTTTGCTCTAGGAGGATGCAGGACCCCTGACCTATGTCTGGACAGTGCTGATTGGCCCTGGGCTGATCACATGCACTCTCCCAAAAAAAAAGAAAACCTCTCTAGCAAAACACCAAACTGAGCATGGGCAGAGTGACTCCACTTGATATGTCTTATCAACAGATAAGATGGGGACACTGGAAGAAGGGGAGGATCAGAGAAGTTGGGATCCAACAGTGTTTTTTACACAATGCACGGGATTAACCCCTTAGGTCCCACAGTGAATATAACAAGCATGCTTTACTGCATATACAGCCTGATTTTACTGTTGGGGTTTAGTAACACTTTAATGAAAGGAATCTATGCATGTATGGCTAACGATAATGATGCCTATTGTCACAAATGAATCTGATTAGTAGCTCTGGGTAACGCAGACAGTTCTTGTTTAAGTTTTGTCACTATCAAGAGCTAGCAATATATAAATTACTTTCCACTCTTGTTTTTGTGCAGAATGCTGGAATCCCTGATGCAGTGTGTTCAAAGGACAGTGACTGCCCGGAGGGTGAACCAGTCATTGCCGGCAATGGTATAATGTGATCACATTTTAACAAAGCTTGCTAATACTCTGACTTTTGTTCACTGTACAAATTGCATTACTGAAAGTGTAGAAAACATAAATAAATTGGAGAGGAGATTGCATTCATTAATGAAGCAGTAAAGCAGAGAATGTGACAAACTGAAGTACAAATAGAGGTTGAGCAATTTAAAAAATAATATAACAGTGACATTTTTTGAAATGCAATACATACAAGAGGACAAAAAAATGTTTCTCTGTAATGTAGCTTATGAACACTCCAAAGCTGAATACCATGCAGATAAAAAAAAGACAGATTAGTGCAACTAAGAATTAATTAACAGGTCATAAAAAGTAGGGATGGGTATAATTGAGTTAAGATCAAGCAGGATTCAGCGAACTTCAGAGACGTTCAGATGCTGGAACACAAACCCCACTGAAAGCAGTGATAGTCATTTGGGGTTGTCACAGGGTTGTCAAAAATAGCAAAAATGGGGTGGACACTGCCATCGCGAACATTTACTAATGCAAAAAAGATTATTACTCACTTACCTACCATTCACGTACCTGATATGTCACTGGACTTCAAGTGGTTGTACTAGAATGGTGCTTCCAGCTGGTCGACGGTTGGCTTTCTTGTAATAGCAATCACTTGTAATCAGTTGCTATTACAAGAATCTGGAGGGCACCCCTTCCCAGGCCTTACGTGGCTTTACGGGATCTTCCATCGCACCAGGAGTCCTGATCGACCAGCCGGCACTGGTCATGAAGCCGAACAAAGACCGGACTAGCTTTTAAATAGTGACCCGGAAAGAATGAGCTGACCATTTTCGATTTACTCAAAAATATGCAGAGGCATTTTTTAAAATAAAAGCATTCAATCACACCGATCTTGATGTGATTGAATGCTTTTAAAAGCAGAGGAGGGACTTGGGGTCTTATTGACTCCTGATCACTCCATAAAGAGTACATGTCACAGGCCTATTGCTGTCACAAGGCATGTTTACAGTCTTCATGACAACAATAAAAGTGATAAAAAGAACATTTTTAAAGCAACAGTGTAGAAAAAAAAAAAAAAAGAAAGAAAAAATTAAAAAAAGAAATAAAAATTGCCCCCATCCCCCTGTACTTGCATGCAAAGGCGAACGCGAACGCACGCATCGGTCCTACTCTCATGAAAACAGTGATCATCCCACACATGTGAGGTATCACCACAAGTATCGGTACATGGGCAGTAATTCTAGCACCAGACCTCCTCTGTAAATCTAAAGTGGTAACCTGTAAAATCTTTTAAAATGTCACCTATGGATAGTAAAATGTACTTCATTTCTCACTGTTGCATGGGCATGCGCAATTTTAAAGCGTGACATGTTTGGTATCTATTTTTTTTAACAGAAAAGGATTATTAATTGGGCAGCACAGTGGCTAAATGGTTAGCACTTCTGCCTGGCAGTACTAGGGTCGTTGGTTCGAATCCCAGCCACGGCACCACCTGCCTGGAGTTTGCATGTTCTCCCTGTGCCTGCGTGGGTTTTCTCCGGGTACTCCGGTTTCCTCCCACACGCCAAAGACATGCTGGTAGGTTAATTGGATCCTGTCTAAATTGCCCTAATATGTGTATGTATGAATGTAAGTTAGGGACTTTAGATTGTACACCCCTTGAGGGTTAGGGACTGATGTGAATGTACAATATATATATGTAAAGCGCTGTGTAAATTGACAGCGCTATATAAGTACCTGAAATAAATAAATAATTAAGTATAGAAATGCAATACAGATATGTGGTTGACCATGAACAACAACCAATAAATAAACAGTCAATACAGTGCACTTGATGATTACAGAAAAGTAAAGGTGCATGAGTCATTCAAGACAAAAAGTACCAGGGTCACATATGCACATACCAAGGTCTCATTATAATCCGGAGACAATAGGAAAAATATCAACCATTCCCTCAAGTCACCAGGTATCTATTTCCTTAGCATAATATCAGCTTTTATATTTTCCCCAAAAAATTGGTTTATGTTCAAAATAAAATTCAAAAAAGTGTATTTTTTGCCCAAAAAGTTGCATTTGAAAAACCACTACACAAATACCATGTAACATAAAAAATTGCAAAACCACCAGTTTACTCTCTAAGGCCTCTGCTTTAAAAATATATAATGTTTGGTGGTTCTAAGAAATATTCTAGCATCAAAAACTGATTGTTACATGTAAACAAAAAGTGCCAGAAAAGGCTGGTCTTTAAGTGGTTAAAATTCCATACTGCCGGGAGCAGTGATTTTTTTTTAATGCCTGGGGGTGCCTCAACCCTGCCTGTGAAGGGGTGCATTTATGTTTTCTGTGAAGTATAGAAAGTGCTGCAGCAGCACTGACATTTACAAAGTAAAAAAGTATTTTAAATTACTAGCAAATGACATTTATCTGCTGTTTTTTTTTTTAAGCACACAAGCCCTGCAGAGTCTTAAGGTTCTGCTATGTGTTGTTTGGGGGGCCTTTGGAAGGGGTCTGTGTACTATTTTTTAAAACAAAAAAGGAGCTGGCAATGAAATGTCATTTGTCAGCAATTTAAACTTTATAATTTTTTCTTTGTAAATGTAACCTTTGCTGGAGCACATCCTACAGTATGGGTGACAGAAAATACATAGATTCCCCATCAGATGTGCATATATTCCACCCTTTGAGTCTGGTATGAATTTGAAGGTGATCCCCATGCACAAAAATGTGCATGGTCCCCCCCTAAAAATCCATATCAAACCCTTAACCTGAGAATGCAGCCTGGCTGGACAGGTAAGGTGGTGGTGGGGGGGTGGGGCAAGCATGTGGTCCCTTCTTGATCCATATCAGGCCACATGTCCTCAACAAAGCATTTGTCCCCTGACAAAGCACCTTGACCCCATGTTGAAAAAGACAAGGGGCTCTTCCCCACGATATTGGCCCATTGTTTGTGGGGGACTGCCGGTTGGGGCTTATAGAAATCTGGTAGCTCCCTTTAAAGATAGGGTGCCCAGATACCAAATTCCTCCCCTACATGAATGAGTAAGGGGTACATAGTCCCCCTACTTATTCCCAAAAAAGTAACCTAGATATAAAGACACCCAAATGATTGACAAGGCATATATTAAAAAAATAACCCCCCCCCCCAAAAAAAAATCTCTTACATCGTAAATACATCATAAATCATGATGCTCGTCACTCGCTGTCTCACCAAAAAAAAAAATGGACCCAGTGCACATGACTAATCCTGACCTTGCTGCTTGCTGAATGACAGCCCCCTGAACTGTCATTAGCTATATACGAAAAGGGGCGGGGATAGTGGTGACATCAATGACCAAATATGGCCATGGCTGTATTTGGTATATTTGATTAAGTAAGCCAGAAAAATACTTTTTACTTGAAAAAGAGCTAGAATTTTTAAAGTGGCCCTAAACTTAAAAATAGAAGATTTGCTATGTTATACGGATATACAGTATGATATAGGGTTTATTGTATCTAAGCAGTACCCTGAACATTTTGGTTTGCATTCTTTCTGAACAATAGGAGTGAACTTTCTGTGCCTAGGTGTCTCATAGCTGTACAGTATAACTGGAGTTTGAGATAATCGAAAGCACTGCTGATCCTGACTGCTATAGACATTTAGTGATGGCACTACTATGCTGTTCACTGTTATCCTTGTTGAAGAGAAAACTGTACCTGAGAACTTGCAGTGCAAGGATCTCTATGCTTCTGCCTCACTTACTTAGAGGATCTGTGCTTTTTGAATCTCTGCTGCTGTTTCTTGATTATTCCCCCACAAATCATCAGATCACCATCTTTGGGGGGGAGCTCTGACACAAGGAAGCACTGTCTCTACCAAGATGGCCACCTCTAGATACAGACAGCATGGAACTGAGTTGCAATATTTCCACAATTGTAAAGGGGTGCTTCCAAAGGATTAGTTTCTCTGCTGTCCTCTGAAACCTGATTCACATATATGCGGTATGGGAAATGCAGTGAATTCTGAGCATTTTCCACACAGCATTGAAATCACACTCCGTTCATGTGATGTTAAATTAATGACACCCCAAAACAGATTGCAAAATGCAGTGCGATTGCAAGAATTGGATCCCATAAATGTGAACACCCATGTGATCCAATTCTGGTGCGGCAAAAAAAAAAAGATTCCTGCACCTTGTTAAAGTGGGTGTGGAACAAATTGAGCCCATACAAAATGAATGGGCTCAAAATGCATTGTAAAGAATCGCATATGATTTGAACAGGAATGTGGTGCGATTCTTGTTCAAATCACATGTGAGTTCCTGCACCGCAATAGTGTGAATCCACGCTAAAGTTATTTGGGTGAACTGTGTTGTTTGTTCAACTAAAATATTATAATGTATTTGTCCTTGGTTGACCTGCTGAGTTGGCGGTAACTGAGCAGGAAGGGTTAATGCTTTCACTGCACTTTTTAGCAAGGTTACTGCTCCCTGCAAGTCTTCTGCTGGAACCACTATCAAGATGTAGACTGTTACTCTGATAGACCGTGCCCCCCATCTAGAGGCCCAGGTGGGGTTCCCTATGGGGTTGGGAACCTTAAATGGACTCTTGCCTTGAAAGGATTGCTTTAACCTCCCTGGTGGTATTCCCGAATGTAGCTCGGGGTTAACTTTCAGTACCAGAAGTGGTAACCCCGAGCTACACTCAGGGATTACACTGCAGCATTGCTCTGTGATCCCTGTTTCACTTACCTTGTCCTGCGTTCCTGTGATGTCCACCCTGCAGCGTCCCCGGCCATGTCCTCCGGCCAATGCCGGCATCTGTCTTCCGGGTTACGTTCTCTGCGAGCGTTGGGACGTACGGGGGATGGAACAGGCGGGAAATTAAAAAATGTCAAAATTTTACAAACACATAATACACTAAAATCTGATAATATTACATTACTGTATCAAACCATTTCACATACATTTTGTCCCTACTGCTTTGTCCTGTGCCCTGTCTGCATTTTTACCATCCTTTCTGCCTGAAAACTGACA